AGAGCAGAAACAACATCATATGACTTATGTAACTAACCATTGCCCAATCCTGCAATGAGATCTGTGTGGCCAGGCCCCCCCCATGCAAAGCTCCATTGAAGTCCAGACAAAGATCACTCCAGGGTTGGAACCCAACATGGTAGAATTTATGACAATTGCAATAAGCCACTCACGAACAAAACTGAGAATTAATCCCTGAAGAAACTGGTGAATCATTTTTGATGAACAAATACATTCTATTCTGTTTGTAACAGCTTTGTGGATAATTCAGGATTCAGAAAAGAGGAGAAATCCATCAAAGCCAATAGACATTAATTTCTAATTATATGTCCGATTCTTCAAGAAGGGCCAATATCCTTGGGCAAACAAAAAAGAGGAGTTTGGAGAAAACAATCTTCTGAGAAACAGTTTGTTGATTCTTCATAACTCCAAAATTCATCCTAGGTACAACCAGTGGTTGAAATGAGAATTCAGCAAACATGGCCCCAAAACTCAGAAGCTGTGGTCTACAGTCAGATGTTCCATGAGAGAAGACTGCTGTGACTGGAGGTGCTTGTATGGACTATTTTAGCTTTAAGGGTTGAAAAAGTCATGTTACAAATGCAGACAGTGAGAACTCTTCCCTGCTGTTGAACAAAACTTTGCATGGTGCTGGAAAAACCCTGAAATGCTCTCTTCCAAGGAGGAAAAGAAGAAAATGGGTGGCAAGGCAAATTGAAACACTGACAGGAATTATGAGTAAATAATTGGTAGAATTCAAAGCCCTTCTTGCTCTGTTTTCTATTCTTGACCACAGTCTAAACCGGTTGCTTCCAAGGAAGAAGCACCCAAACAATGGGTTCATGTCACCAGCCCCACCTTCTTGTAGTGAAATACCAAAGCCCTAACATTCTTCCAGTGGTGGGGAATTCTACAAAAAAATGTCAGATACCACCTGGGCTGTAGTGACCAGCTGGCAGCTTCCCTGGTTCTCCTTAAACCTTACTTCTATTTATTTCTGCCACTGCATACCTTGCTGTAGGTAGCAGTTTCAGGCCTGGGTGTGGTTGCATACAAAAGACTACAAATTAACATGGTGTGGCCACCAGGTTGTCAGACTGCAGCAAGGGGAACCTGCTCGTGGGACCAGCTGCTTCCAAGCACTCTCTTTCAGCCTCCACGACCAGTCCTAGCAAGTGCTGAGTTGCTGCTGGCCACTGTTCCCTCTTACTCTGCCTTCTCCCTATGTTGTTTCAGGCCACCTTACACAGTCAGGGTGTTAAGTGTCAATTTGCACCTGATCAGGAAGAATAGCAAGATGCCTCCAGCCCATGACTCCCGCTGAAGAAGTGAGATGGAAAATTGTGATATATAAATGCATCTGTTTTTATAGGGAATGCTAATCCAGAACTTTCAGGAGACATCAATAACTTTATTGTATACATCAAGAGGTTTTTATCTTAAATGCTGTGCCTAGGATATACAGGAACAGCCAAAATATTGTAAACAGATATTCTTTGTGCTTAGGAAAATACTGGCAAGAGGGCTTAAACTTCCAACCAGCCCATTTTCGTACTTTGGTGTCTGGTTGAATTATGTTTTAAGGTCAATGTCTGTTGCTTTTGCTTTCAGTGGTGTTACTTTTTGCAGATTATGTTCTATGTAAGGTGCATTTTTCTAGAGCATAGTTTGGCTATGGGAAAAATATGTGCAGTGGTTAACATGTTTGTTTTTTTTTTTTTTCTGTAGAAAGTGAATAAAATTTTATGATGATGATGATGATGATGATGATGTAATCAGCTAGTGGAAGATAGTGCAAGAGTCTGGGCCTTTCAGCTGAGAGCAATCTGGGTGCTGCAGTATTGCTGCTTATCTACCAGTAACCGTGATCCTAAAATGTTCATGCATATGCTTACATGCTTAAGTCCCTGAAGTAGGCAGGCTGTGTCTACATCATATTTATTATAGCAAGACAGTGTTTCCCTTGTTAACACCTGCTGCTGGCAAGAGGAAATCTAGGACTAGAGAGTTTTGTCAGTTACAGTTTACAGTTATTTCCACATCTCCACTCTCATCCACATTTAAGACATTAGGTCTTCCAGCTGCTCACTTGCCTGATTGTACTGAAAAACTCAGTTTCTACAGAAAAATGCCACCCAGGTTGCCTCCCCCTAGGCGTGGTGAGACTTGCCTCTGAAATTTCTGGTTTGGACTGGATCCTCCACGTGTAGTATGAGCTCTTCTTTTGGGAAGCTTTGGGATCTGGTGAGTAAAGGCTGATCACAGTGGTAAGGCAGCTGTCTATTTCCATGCACTGTTCCTTACTTGCCATTAATGTTTAAACATTAATGTTTTTCTGAGGATGAAAAAGTGTTTAAAACAAGTACACAGGCTGCTAAGAGCACTAAAGGCATTGGCATGTCAAGGTGATGGCTTTGAAACCACAGTGGCTCTTAAAACTATTAGGGCATAGCAATTTCTCCTTATTTTCTATGGCTTGCTTGTTGTTTATTCTTCTGCTGGCCTACCAAATAATGGATGGCATTTCTGTTGGAAATTATAAAAGCGTCCCTTGGGATAAAGTCATACTCATAATTTTTGTTAATGTCTGATGTAGGAAAGAAACTATGGCAATAGATATGGTGTTCAATCACACTGCAGCTGTAAGGACTTGGTCCTTACAGCTCTTCCGTGCCCCAATCCAAACAAAAGAGCAGGACAGCTACAGGACGAGGCCACCATGCTGTGGTGATGCCATGGTGGGTAATGCCCATTGAGCAGGGGGAGAAATGCAGGACCCACCATGGAGCCTGCCCCAGCCACTTCCTCTCGTGAGCCACCCCCCTCCTACCTCGCAGGGGTGAATTACTCATGCGTGCTGGTGGGTGGCACCCAGCCCTCTTCATAAATAAGCCATGATGTGCTTGGAAGTCCCCCGCACCCACCGAAAGTTGGCATAGGCAAAGCAGCTGACGGCTGGTACTGAGAACGTTTTCCCAATTAAAAACCGGAGGAACACTCATGACCCCTCTGCAGTGACATGACTTCCAGCACTGACATCATCCCTGCTTTCAGAGTAACTTCTGCCTTTGCCACATGGATTTGTTTAAAGAAACTGCTTTCAGTAATATTTGCCCCAGCAAGTGTTTTCTTTTCTATTTTTTTTTTTTTGGGGGGGGGAGTGGGGATGAGGGAGGGGGAGGGGAGGGTTAGAGAAGCAAACACTGAGCAACAACAACAACAAAACCACAAAGCTCAGGTAGGCCATAGTCTTGCATGGCCTCAGTCATTTGCATGCTGCCCATGAGAGAAGCTCATTGCTGTTGCTGGAGCTGGGCAGCGATGGAAGCGTCTTCTAAGAGTGCCTGCTGCTGCCCTAGCTTTGTCCCAGTGAAATCGGTTTTAAGGGCAGAGAGAAACAGATGTGAAAATCCCACCCAAAAAGGGACTGTTGTTTGTGGATCCGGATGACCCACAGCAACCACATCTATCGTGCCGATCTCCAGAGGCATTGTCTTGCAGTGGCTGCTAGTGCTGGAGGGAAGAGCCCCGGCCTGTCACCAGAGGCACTGCCTGCAAACACACTCCTCTCCTTGGGTGTTCAGGGCCTGATCCGTCTCAACAAATTCGGTTGGAGCTGCTCTGTGGGTCTGCACCAGCAGACCCAAATCCCCACATGGACCGGAGCACTTGTCCTGGCCATCTACATCACTTTATTGCCAGCACAGGCCCTGTTGACATGCAGGCCTGCTGCCAGATCGTCCTCTCCAGACAATGCCCAGGCACAGCTTGGCCAGGGGTGGCTCTCAGGGGGAACACGATTATGAGGAGAGAGGCGTGGCTGGGTGCATGGACATGTGCTGTGCCGTGCCACTTACTATAGAGACTGCAGAGGATGTGACTGACCACCGCGGAGGTGGCCTTCGGGGAGGGGTTCAGGTGTTCAAAGAAACAGGACCATGAAACGTGTTCTGGCAGTGGGCTGCAGATGCATGTCCTGACAAATTTCAGCAAGAGCGCTGGGTCAAGACCCCCTCCCACCCACCGTCAGCATCCAGAAGCTCTCTTGCATGTCCTGCCTTGGGGCTTTCACTTGCCAAAATATTTATTTCCTCTCCTCCCTGCTCATTGCTCCCGTTAGCAAAGTTCCAGCGGACAAAGCAGAGACCATCCCAGACCTCTGTTTGACAAGTGTTTGTAGCACAGCTTTTCCAGAGGCTTGCCGAGGAAAACAATCTGAGTACATTATTATTATTATTATTTTAAAGTATCAGATATAATACACTACCCTCTTTTGAAGGCCCTTAATCCTCCCTAGGAGTTTTTCACTTGGGTCTCAAGTTCCTTCTGTCAGTGCTTCAAGTTTGTTTGGATGCCTAACCTGGGCTGAGTTAAACTGCATGAACACTCAAAAACAATTACAGTTCCTGTCCCGAGGACCCTTTGTTCTAATTACAAAAACTCCAGGAGGCTACAACAGATCTGTCAGCTGAGGCTGGGAATACAAACTCGTTTTCTAGCCCCCCCCCCCACTCCCCCAACCTCTTTCCCCCCTCCTTCTTCTCTAATAATCAGGGAGGTGGGGAGGCGGAAATCTCAGCAGGAACAGATTGAAGACATTAACATTTGGTTGGTTTTGTATTGTTCTTTAGTGAGACCGCAACTTATGAGGCTGTTTTAATAAATGTCTGGTCAGAGGCCAATCAAAAGCTGCCAAAATGGGTGTAGGGAAGCCTGTTTCCCACACAGTCTGCTCCTTCCCACCCCAATCATTGGAAATAAGGTCTAATAACGAAACGCCTTCATTTCCCTCCTTACCTCCTCACTCTCGGGGATTTTGCAGCTTATCATTCCTAGAGAGGAGGAAACCTACTCCCCCCCCCCTTCCCTTCTCCCCCTTCCAGGCAATCTCAGACCATCTTGTTAAACCTTAATGCAACATATGTTGAGGGCAGATGCTCATCTGGTGTAAATTATCCTGGCTCTGCTCAATTCAATGGAGTTCCAGTAATTGCGATCAGCTGAAGGCTGTACCTTTGTTTTATTTACGGTGGTGGAAGGCTGAACCTTTCTGGGTATGGATGTGTGGAGGCTACAAGTTTCATCTGCTTGCTTTCTACCTTTTGTGGGTGGGAAGAGGACACTGGAACGGCTACGTGGTTTTCAGTCTACCTTCACCTGGAAAGCGTTATGGGTCAGTAAGTGCAGCAGCTCTGCTTTGTGCTGGTGAACATTTATTGCTCTACAGGTGGGGTGCTAAAGAGCTTGCGTGCTGCTTCACAGATAAAGAGAGAAACCAATGCAGTGTCAGCAGGGGGAAGCAAGCCTGAACTCCCCAAGATGCAGCTCCTGTCGAAAAGGCACTGGGAGGGGCAAATCAGAGGCTTACCAGAGCAAGGCAGGCTGCCTGTCCCTGCTGCTGGCTGAAGAGCTGTGCAGACCTCGATACCAAACCACCAAACTAGCCGTGGCAGCAGGAGGCCCTAAGTGAGGTTTGACCCCCTTGTGCTGGCGTGCTCCTGGAGAGAAAAGGACCTCGAGGGAAATGGAGAGTCTGCAGCCTAGGGACATTTGAAAGCATGGCCAAAGGCAAATTACGGAAATTCAGTGTCATGACCAAAGCCACATAGATGATGAGCTGTGGAGAAGCTGATGCCCTGAGGTGGAGATACCATGAATTATTGTTAGCTCCTGCTAGGAAATTAGGGCTCTGTAACACTGCCATTCACATGACTCAACATCTACTTTTCTCTTTCAGGACACCTGATGGGAGAAGAAAGTCTGTTAACCTATGGATGGGTGACTTTGGTTTGTGCTCGGCTGTCACTGCTACTGGATGAAAAAGAATGCCACTAAAAGAAAACAACTGCAGACTTGAGCTTTGAAATTTAATTACAACAACATGGCAAGCTATGTGTGAAGGAAAAGTTAAGAGAAATAGCTTAAAACATTGAAGATTTTGGAGTTCTTGTTCTTTTTGTAAAGGTGTGATTTGAACAACCTCTTGAAAATGTATCAGTGGAAAATGATCAATAAGAAATAACTCTTCTTGAGGAGTTATAACTACTTACTAGTGTTAAAAATCTGGGGCCAATTAACTTTGTGTGAAACTTTTGTTCTGAAACTCCAAAGCATGTGAAACTTGCTGGATTGTGTTTGCTGCTGAGATTTGGCTGCATGACAACATCCAAGCACACATCCCTGCCTGCCATCCTCTTAGCATGGCCATAGTACAGCAGGATGAAATTATTTAATGCCAAGTGACTCCATGTGCTGATATGATGTCAGCTGGGTTATCCAAACTACAGCTGATGGATGTGTGCTGTGGTGGCAGGGCTGGGCTCCTCCAAAGCAAGGTGTCCCTATGCCCTGTGCCACCAGGGCACCACTCAGTGCCCCAGGGCTTGGTAGATGTCATCTGCTGAATCTGCCAGAAGGTGATCCCTGCCTTCATGCCCCTCCACGAGGGCTTTCAGCTTTCCTGGAGAGGGAAGGATGGCAAAGCAGAAGGCAGGTCCCCCACAGCTGTGCATACCATGGCCTGGGAGCTGATGCTGGAAGGTGTAGGCTTGCATGTAACACCTGATAGCTCCATCACCCTGGTGGCAGCAAGAAAGGGAGGGGGCCTGTGACTGTAGTACCTCAGCCCTCTGGAGGAGGATGTACAAAGGGACAGGTGTCAGCACTGGAGGAGGGCTGTGGTGGTCCTGGTAGATGAATGAGTGGTTTTTACATGGCCAGCCTTGCTTCTCCAGGCAGGGAGACCAGGTAGTGTGGGTTCCCTTGGCCACGTACCCTGTATTCCCACTGCCAGAACCTGAAATGCCACAGCCCAGTGACATGGACATGACTGGAGTCTTGCCTTCCCCCACCAGTCCCTGAAACCTTGGCAGCACTCTGTGAGGCTGGAGGGATCCAGAAGTTTACCCATTTTCCAGAAAAGCTGGGAATTGCTCCAGGAGGCTACAGCATAAGCACCACAGCAGGCATTCGTAAATCCTGGTATCTGCTCTCAGCAGGTTGAATTCCCCATCAAGCTCCCATGGCTTCCCCCTGCTGAAGACCATCTTGGTCTACTTCTGGTGTGGGAAGAGTTGGAGATGTGATTGTCTCTCCTCTCTCAGCAAATCAGCAAGGAAGGAAGTAAGGAATCAGCTCCCATCCAGCAGATTTATGCTTAGGACATGTGAAAGTGACTCACAAGATGCTCCTCTGATGCTGAGGAGCAGACTGACATGTAGCAGGGCAGGGTGACACCCCAGCTCTGCCTCTTATACCCAGACGTGCAAAATTATGTTCTCAGTGAAATTGAAAGGAATTTAAGTGCATAATTGGGCATCAGGCCTTTGCTCTTCCTCCTGTGCAGCTCCATATTTATATAAAGTGGGGATAATATTTCCCTGTGTAATAAAGGGTTTACAAGATCAAAGTCCATTTGATGTGAGGGGTTCTCAAATACCCTGTTGTTAAATATTAATGATTGTAGAAGTATTTATGTGGAGGGCTGCTTGTGAGGGTGAAAATTGAGGCTTGAGCTGTTCCTCTCACTAGTCAGTTTTTCAGGATAGTTCCAGTACTTCATTCACCTTGAAAGAATAAACCTAGAAAATATGACAGTAAAACCACAGGCACTTAAAACATAAAATAAAATAAAAATATGAAAACCCAGGCAGGTGTAGCCCCTAAACTTTTTCTTTTCTTCATTCCTTGAAATAAACCCACACGATTGCATAAGCAATAAACAAACCCTAAGTCAGTGTCCAGCAATTGTCACAACTTCTCCAAACTGGGTTCTTGTTACATGGGGTCCTGCAATTTCAGAAGGGGCAGTTCTAAGGTAAAACCAGGAGCACTGCTTTGTCCTCTGGCTAACGTTTAACAGGGCTCTGCAGGAGAAACCATCTCAGCCACAATCTCTGTCCCTCGTCACGGTTTATATCTGATTTTCCCCTGCAAGAGGAGAAGGGCCTTCCTTCCAGGCCTTCATTCCAGGCCCTCCTGATGATCCCAGCTGAGGGAGCGGGGACAGGTAATGACATGGGCTGGCATGGCGAGAAGGTTCCTCTCCGAAACACAGGAGTAACCAAACCCAACCATCCTTTGCAGCATCCTCAGCTTCTCCTCGTCTGCACTGCCCTAGCCCCCAGTGGGCAAAGGAAAGCTGAAACTGCTTTGATTTGCATCTCTGCTTTAAAGGCAGGCTGACACTGCTGTCCTTGCAAAATATAATTTTATATATATATATATATATATATATAAATGTGACTCCCAAAAGAAAAAAATATGAAAGAGGCTGCCATTTCTGCTCTAGCCTTGTGGGCTGGATGCTCTTTTAATTTAATTACTTTTAATCAGCAAATGAGACATACATTGTGCTCATCACCCACACTTGCGATTTGGAGAGGAGAGCCTGAGGAGGCCAGGAAGGAAAGTGGTGCTGTCCCAGCTGCTCTTTCCTGGGTGCTGAGCATCGTTCCCCAGTACTACCCGCTGCAAAACCCTAAGGTGTGCTGGTGTGCACAGCAAGCCCCCAGCAGGCACTTTGGAAGCTTTGGAGCAAGTGCATCGTTTAGCAGGGATAGTTGTTGCCTTTTGGAAAAAATACCTGCTGGGCTAGAATCAGCGTACTAAAAGAGACAAAAAATCTCACGAACTCTCTGTCTTTTTTGTATTTTTTATTTTATTTTATTTTTTTTTTCTTCTGGGCGTCCCTGGGGCCAGGCATGTATCTGCAGTTGCATCATGCACAGTGTTACTCAGGCCGGGGCCGGTGCTCTCGGCGGCTGACCAGGCTCACTCTGCTTGCGCTGGGATTCCACAGCGGGCCTTAAATATCCCGGTTATTTTTATCCTCCTACGTAATGCAGCCGTGGGCCGTCCCACCGGTGGCAGGGCAACAGCTACACAATGTTTCCCTTTAGTCGGGAAGGGAAATGGAAAGAGGCCAGGCTTCCTGATCACATGGTGCCTGAAGTCAATGAAGAAAATTAGGAAAAAAAAAAAAAAAAACCAAACTCCTCCCTCCCACTTTTTTTTTTTTTTCTTCTTTTGTAACAAGCTGGTCCAGCTTAACCCTTGGCACAAAACACGTCTAAGAGAGAGCAGCCTGTCGGGATGCAAGCCAGGAAAACATCAGGGGAAAGAAAAAGAAAAAAAAAAAGCAGAAAACCAGAACATAAACACAAGATTGCTGCGGTAATTGGTGGCTCTGAAAAACACTAAGGAAATGTGAGGCTTGTATGAAACATCAGCAGACAAGAAGCGGGGTGATGTCAGACGGCCTTCCAGGATTAGAAACCCTTAAAAGCTCCCGAGCGCGGAGCTGCCTGAGAAAAACGCAGCAGCTCTCCAGAGTGGAAGGAACTGAGAAGGACAAGTTGTGTTAAAAACCTAAGTCGACCATTCATGTTCTCCTGAGGGAAAAGGGAAGAAAGCAGGGTGGACAAATGTACAACCTGTCCTTTAATTAAACGATAGAGTATTTTTTTTTCTTTTCCTCTAACCTCATCTTTGAAGAGGCTGAAGTGTCCGAAAATGTGAAAGCATACACAATCCACACAAACTTGGGCAGCAGATCTTCGGCTGGAGCATGTCCACGTTGCTCCTCTGGCTTGAGATGTTTCTGACAGCTCTGAAATCAGCTTTCTGTGTTCCCCAAAGTTCCCTATGTGTGTACAAAATGTTCACAGAGAGATGGAGCACATAAACATCTTGCTATTTATTAAACAGTTTTCTCTAGTAAAATTGAAGAAGCCATGATTACGCTTCAAAGTGAAAACCTGTTAATTGCTCCTAAAATGATTGTGTTTGCTCTGCTCTGTGTGTGTGTTTGCATGTGTAAAAGGAAGGTGTGTTACTCTTTTCCCCTCCCGTCCTTCCCCACACCATATTTCTGGAGAATTGGAGAATTTAAGATGAAATTTTAATTTGTGCAACTAGTACAACACATCTTGCTACCTTGGGACAAGCTAATCTCAGAGAAAAGTGTACTAAACACCAGGTACTTTTTCTTGCTTAGGAAAAGCACAAGTCTCAGGTCTCTGGTTTATGTCTGATAGCAGTGGATGGAGAGTCAGGATGCATGTCACTCCAGCATCCACGTGGGGAAAAATCACTTTCCCGACCAGTGAAGCCCTGAATTGGTAAGGCAATGAGCACACAGGGCTGCTGTGTGGACCCTCTGCTCCCATCCCTTCACGCTGCAGCAATGCCAGCAGGACAGCTCAGGTGCAGCTGAGCGAAGATGCTGCCTCCTGCTCTGCTTCCTTCCCTACCTCTGCTCCCCAGCACAGCCCTACCAGTCCCTACAAGGCACCTGTGGGGGCTGAGCCCTGCTGCTGCTGGCCACTGCAGGCAAGTAGCGTGGGGCTGAGCATGGCTCTGCAAGGGCTGGAGGGAGAGAGGGAGGCTGTAAGATTGTTCCCCACTCAGCCCCAGGCACCCACCGGCCTCTGCCACGTCCCCATACATCGAGAGAAGATAACGTTGGACTGCTGGATTGTGAACAGATGGAGTGCTTTTCCTCGGCAACCTCTCCTCCGTGGTTGGAAACCACATGCTGTAATGGTTTTAAAACATGTGGGAACCTGGGACAAACAAGATGAATTTGCTACTAACAGACAGCAATAATCAAAAAGTCTCCCCATTTCATGTTTCTTACCCCTTTCCCAAATAAATAGGTGGCTCTGTTCCAAGCCGTCTGATGAGAGTACTTCACAAAGCAAACACGCTTCACAGCTAGTGTTTCCCAGAGACATCTCCTTAATTGCTACAGATGTTTTGCTTAATTCTCCAATATTTATTATTATTATTTTATTTTAGAAGATTTAAAGGAAAAAAAGAATAAGAGAAAGGAAGAGCAGAAGATAAAAGAAAGGAAAGAAACACAGGAAGATAAAGGAAGGCAAAGAATGGAAAAGGAAAAAAAGAATGGAGATAAGGAAAGAGATAAAGAAAGGAGAAAAAAAAAAAAGAAGAAAAAGAAAGAAAATATGAAAAAAAGTAGAAAGAAGAAAGAAAATGAAAAGAAACAAGGAAAGAAGAAAGAGAAAGAAAAATTGTGTGAAAAGAACAAACATGACAGAAGAAAATCAGAGCTTTTAGGATGCAAATATGAAAATATCGAGGGGTTCAGCGCAAACATCTCATTACCTCAAATTAAGTCAATACAGCTATAATAGAAGAAAGATCAGAGGGAAGGCAATTGTAGTCGCAATAATGCTGGAGCCAAGCAGAAAGAGGCTTTGAACAGAGGTCCAAAAAAAAAAAAAAAAGGCACTCTCCCACACATTATTTGTTGTTCCTACTTCTTTTGGCTTCTTTCCTCAGGGGAAAATAGAAATACAATACCAGACATGATATACTTATTAAAGGAAAAAAAAAAAGAAAGAAAGAAAGCAGGAGAGTTTTCTAGCAACTCCCTTAAAAAACAAATGGTGTGAGGCAAGCACTACCAAGAGAAAAAACGTATCTCGTGGGGCACTGCTGGGGTGGGGGATGGCAGCAGGCTCTGGGGGGGATGCTGCCTGCCTCCTGTGGTTTTTGGGGATGCAGGCAGAGGGAGGGGAATGGGGCGCTGCTGCCCGCGTCCATGCAGATGCCGGCGGCCTCGCCAGAGAGCCTGCATGCCGCCCTGCCGCCGGAGGATATCAAAATGCTTCGCACGCATTAATTGAATAAGCCTCCTAACTCCCCTGTGATGTAAATATTATTACAACTGGAATAACAAAGGCGCAGACCGGCTAAGTGACTTCGCCCGCAATTGTAGAGCAAATCGGTGTCGGAGTAGGACTGGAATATGGGCCTCCTCTCTGCTCCAGACAGTGCTCTAGCCACAAAACCAGCCCACATTGTCCTCTGGGTTGTCTCTACTCCTTTTCGGCTGGAACGCTGCAGACGTTTCCGAGCTGCTTGCAAAAGCAAAACAGATGTCCCATCTATTGGCCCCATCCCTGTCCTTATTCATCGTCACACGAACTGTTGCTGAGATCATACGGCATGCTTTCTGTCCAGCGTGTGTGCAGGTGGAGGGAGGGCACTGCTGGAGCCTGAGCAGGCAGACCACCAGCAGCATCACATGCAGAGGTGAGGTCAAGGCTTCAAGCAATTTAGGCTAGATTTATGTGGGATGGGTGGGGAAATCCTCCTTCTTGCTACTCAGTTTTGCATGTCCCTACAGCTCCTAGATGTGTGTCCCTCTTCCTGTGAGCAGCTGAAACTGTTCGTGAGGAGATGAACATGAATATGAATAGGAGTGGAGAGGCAGAAATCCCACTGTAGCCAAGAATGAAGAACCCACATGCC